GCGGGCCCGAACCCGAGCGCGGCGCAGAACCCGGCGCCCAGCTCGGAGCAGCCGCTGACGTAAGCCCCGGGGGCGCGCGCGGACGTGACGCCTGGACACGTGTGTGGCGGCCCGGCGCGCGGGGACTGGCAGAGCCACCCTGCGACGGAGGCCGGCCCCTCCCGGCGCCAGCTGGCCGCGCGGGGACCGCCCAGCGCGGGCGCTTCCTGCTCGGACGGCAGCCCGGCCCTCGACCTGAGCGCGCCCGGCTCCGCGCGGCGCGGGGGCTGCTTTTCCGCGTTGGGGAGGGACCGCCCTTCGGGAAGGCGTCGCCGAAGTCGTCAGGCCACACTCCGTGGGGCCACCCCTGGGGGAGCCGGGCCGACGCGTCAGGGCTCAACCAGAAGGGCAACTTCAAGGGGGCGTGGGCGGGGTGACGGCGGGGCGGGACCTGGACGGGTCTGAAAAAACCGTGCGGTTCTCTTCCCCGGGTTGAGTCACCGGTGCCTGGGGAAGGCGTGTGGCGCGATCCGCTGGGCTCCTAGTCTCTTAAATGAGATTTCGAGACCCCCTAGAAATGCCAGAAATACGGGTTGGGTCGTGAGGCCCCAGGAAGACAATGGGTAACCCCCCAGTTTAGCGCGCTGCGTCCTCATCTGAGATTCCCGCTGAAGTTAAAGGCTTTGATGCGAGGTGTAGACACTCACCTTGCCGAGTGAACCACACGTTAATTTAAGGTGCTCCGGGTTAAATTGCTTTTCATACTTTGAGCCACTGACACCAGAATTGGAGGAAGAGGCTACTTGAACGGGATTCAGATATTCTTTGTAGGAGAGACAGTGAGTGATAAGGAGCAAGAGACAGGACTGGGTGAAGAATGGTGCTTTCTGCTTACCATCTCTGTGACTCTGGATTTCTTTAATTTTCTGTGCCTCAATTTCCTCATCTGTAAAAGTGGAATGAAAAAAGTACCTATCTCATAGGTGGGATAGTGAGAATTAAGAGTTTGATATATGCCAATCATAAACATTGCTTAAATGTTAGTTATTTAAAAAATATTGTTAGTGTTTAATATTAATATTATCAGTGAATAAAGTCAGTTTAAGAAATATGCTGTTAGATGTCTGGCCTGTGTGGCTCAGTGGTTGAGTGTCGACCCATGAACTAGGAGGTCTTGGTTCCATTCAAGGTCAGGGCTCGATCCCAGTGGGGGGCTTGCAAGAGGCAGCTGATCAATGATTCTCATCTTTGATGTTTCTATCCCTCTCTCCCTCTCCCTTCCTCTCTGAAATCCCTAAAAACATTATATATAATCTAGAAAAAATTAAGTTTAATCTTAATTTCTTAGAAGGACTACATGCATGGGATTGGTGAATATGATCTGAGTCTTGAAAAAAAATTAATAGACATGATGTTATTCAATCATTCAGTAAATGATTCCTGAGTGTTATGTACAGTCCTTGTTTGTGCTCTGAGAATGGTTCTCATTCAGTTTACCTTCTAGTAAGGGAGCAATGAGGATAGCCACACACTCGTGGGAGAGGATTTCAGATGAATAGGTGGGGTGGGGGTGAAGACATTGTAGCAGGAGCTAAAGCACAGGGAGATAATGCATTTAGGAGAGCATTGAGCTTGGGGGTTGGGGATGGTGCATGGAGTCTCAATGGACCTGATAAGACCTGTACCTCAGTAACAAGGGGTAACCACTGTAGGTTTTTGAACAGCACTGTAACATGGTGAGTCAGAGTTTTGAAGGGGGAATACAAAATAATAATAACTAATATTTATTGAGTGCCCACTACGTACCAGGATTTTGCAACAAGTCTACATGATGGGTACTATTGTTCTCATCTTCATTATTATAGTTGAAACTCAGACACAGGGAGATTAATTTGCTCAGGATCACACAGCTGATAATCTTTGGGAAAAGCTCCAGAGTCCTTTTTCTTAACTACTTAACTAGACTATACCCCGTTCAGTTATGTCCGACTCCTACTTATAGTCTAGTTAAGGAGTTAAGATTAGCACACTCAACACAGTCAGAAAACAGTTGCACAGCCTGAAATAAAGCACTGAATTTTGTGGGCACACTTTACATAAATTCTTTCCTTAGCTGGTCTTCAGAGGAAAAAATTAAATCATATTCTATTATTCCATTTGTGCCTTTTTATATCACAAAGAACATAATAGTGACAACAGAAAAAAGAATCAGCCACAGTTTCACTTTTATTGGAGAAAATATAATATTTTCCACTCTTAATCTAACACCCAAGCCAGTGGAATTTATTACCAAGGTTCCTTCCCTTTCCTTCCACCTCTGGCCTTCCAGTGCAGGTGTCCTCCATGCCCAGGGCTCACTAGCTCTCATTGGAGAAGTGGGATCCCCACCTTGTCATGTTGACATGAGCGTTCAGTGTTCCAGTCAGTGAGGAACTAGTTGTTCAAAAGGCAATTTGGTTTCAGAGGTGTTGAAACAAAGAACAGGAAAAACAATTATCTGCAGAGAGATTTGGTTTATTTTTCCAAAAATACAACTAACCCGTCCACTCTTACCCTGGCAGGTGCCTCCCATGGTATGGAGAAATTTCTTCTTGCTTCCACCTTCATGATATTGCACTCCTTTGGCAGTTGTTGAAGGTAGGTGGGATGGGAGTGAACAGGCTGCTGGTTGACCCACATTAGTGACCCCTCCAGGCTGCCAGGCTGGCCTTTCCAGTCCTTCCTTCTTCCTCCTTCCTTGGAACTTTTGATACAAGGAAAGATGGCCTTTGCACATTGGACACTGTGAGCTAGAGCACTCTCTATCAGGAGGCCATGCATACTATTGTGAGGTTTATCTGCCCTGGAGAGTTGCTGGGCTGTGTTTAATGGGTGACTCTGAGGCCTCAAGGAAATGAAAGGGGGAGGGGGAGTCCAGACTTTTGTTAGCTCCTGATTTATGACTCATTTATCATATCTGTTGCATGACAGGTTGGCCTCCTTCCCCCACCCACTGCATCCCAAATTGCATTAAAAGGACATGTGCAAAGCAGGACACCTCTCCTTAACCCGTCTCCCACTCTGTACAACCCTTTAAAGACTATGGGTGTACTGGATAACCTTTCTTTCCTTAAAATATCAGTGAATATTGTTTTTTTAAAACCCCTCACAGGTGAGCCCCAAATCTCACCTAGACTGCTGAGCAGAATGAGAAAGGCTCCAGCTAGGCAGATAAGCTCTTGCCCTTCTTTCTGTAACTTATAAATTGGGTGCTTTTGCAAATTGGGCAACTTCTGCAATCAGGCTAATGGTATGCATTTTCAGAGCAAAGTGTGGTTGGCTTTTTCTGTTTAGGTTTAGAGATGACTCAGGATGTCATTGGAGCTTGCTGCTTGGGAATTTCTAATGTGGGGAAAGCTTGTGGGAAATTTGAAGGTGGCTGTGAAGCCCCCTGATAATTACGGTAGGAACTTTCATCTTTATAAAGTACTTTTGTTTCTGGGGTAATTTCCACATGCTCTAACTTTTTTTGAATAATTATGGGTCTTTTAATGCTAGTATTTCATGAACAATGACCATGAACCTAGTACGTACTGAGTATTGCCACAGAGTATATATATATATATACATTTGCATTATTTTTATATCCATACTTAGCTAATATTTCTTTAGTGCTCACCTTCTGCCAGATACTGTGCTAAGCACTTTACATATTTTAATTCTTTTAATATTCACAATGTTTCCTATGAGGTAGATGTTTACAGACAATAGAACTGAGGTACAGAGAGGCCAAGTGACTTATACTAAGTATCTTTAGGATGGCTGCAATGAAACCTCCTCCTGCTGTTCTTCCCACTGTGATCCCCTTCCTTCAGGTGAAAGCTGGACCTACTGACTCACTTTAAATGAACAGAATATGGCCAAAGTGATGGAACATCATTTCCAAGATTAGGTTACAAAAAGACTAAGACTTCTGTGTGGGTGAAGTAAGCTACCACAATGGGGGTAGCCCTATGAAGGCCAACACCACAAGGAATTAACGCCTCTGGCCAATAGCCAGCAGAGACCCCAGGCCTATCTGACAATTGGATTGCACTTGTGTGACCCTGAACCAGAGGACCCAGTGACAACAGAGCTGAGCTGATATAGAAACTGTGATAATAAATGTGTTAAAAAAAATTTTTTTGTTAATCCTCACCCAAGGATATTTTTTTCATTGATTTTTTATATAGAGTGGAAGGGAAGGAGGAGGGGGAGAAAGAGAGAGAGAGAAACAGAGAAACATTGATATCAGACACATCAATGGTTGCCTTCTGAACTTGCTCGACCCAGGCCTGTGATCTAACCTGCAACTGGAATTGAAACTGTGACTCTTCAGTGCGAGGGCTGACAATCTAATCACTGAGCAACACTGGCCATGGCAATGTTTGTTGTTTTAAGCCACTAGGCTTGGGGGTAGTTTATTACACAGCAATATCACTAATACACTTGCTCAAGGTTAAAAAGCTTGTCTCTATTAAGAATTGCAGATTATAGACCCTGTACATTTTTCCTCTCTTAAATTATTTTTATTATAATGCTACTTAAGTATATAGAAACAAATCTAGGAATGCAGTTTTTATGATTATTGTTGTATACAGCTATAAAAATAAAAAATTGGAATACCAAATTTCATAAATACCCAGAATAATGTTTTTTTATTACTTATTCTGATTTAAATTTATACTTTTTAAAATGATAATGTATTGCCCTGACTGGTTTAGCTCAGTGGATAGAGCGTTGGCCTGCAGACTGAAGGGTCCCGGGTTCAATTCTGGTCAAGGGCATGTACCTTGGTTGCGGGCACATCCCAGTAGGGAGTGTGCAGGAGGCTGCTGATTGATGTTTCTCTCATCGATGTTTCTAACTCTCTATCTGTCTCCCTTTCCCTTCCTCTCTGTAAAAAATCAATAAAATATATATATTTTTAAAAAATGATAATGTCATATAATGGAAGCTGTACTAAAATGAAATCATTATCTAGTTTGGAAACAATGTCAATGTCCTTCAACAGGAAAATGAACTATGTAAGCCATCCCACAAAATCTTCTGCAACTTGGGAGATTAACTGCTATATGAAAAAAACAAGCTGCAACCAAGAAGCCCCTAAACAATCCCATTTATAGAAAAAGAACCAAAATAAAGTGACAATTTCTTTACATGCTTAAAGGGTATAGGAAGGTCTGAAAGGAGACAGTGAACTGATGACAGTGCTGGTTTCTGGGGAGAGGAGTATGAATGAATGTGGGGAGCTTTTGCTTTGTATTTTCTGTATCTTTATAGGGTTGTGTTTTTTTTTGTCTTCTCTTTTTTCTTTTTTTTGGGGGGAGGGGGAAAATAAGAATTTATTCCACGTGTTTCTTGTGTAATTAAAAAGAAAGTGTTGTCCTTGCCTTTCTGGGGTTATTTTAGAGTAGGATTTATTAGCTGTAGGGTTGGTGCCAAAATGAGTGACACATAAAAGATCAGCCAGCCAGAAGAGGTGGTCCTTGACGGACAGGCATGGGAGCTTCAGTCAGGTCTGGGTCTGGGAGGTTGGGCTGAAACTGGAAATTTAATAAGAGTAACTCCAAGGCAGGGTGTGAGTAGAACTTGGAGACCCTGGACAGCAGGAATTAGACAGGCTGGGGACCTGGTGCTTTAAGGGAGGCTTCCTGAGACAAGCAGAAATTCAGTCCTGGGGCCGAGGTAATTGGGGCTATCAGTCAACTGATCAAGTGCAAAGATTTATTCAGTTAACAGTGTCACATTTGGAGGCCAAGGATAAAATCAAACCCAGGCTTCACGTGTTGGGGTGATAGTAGCCCAGAAAGGGGAATAATATTAATGATAACTCACCCTTACACAGTGCTTACTAGACACCTGACACCCTTTTAAGCACATTACATTTAATCCTCATAACCCTATGAGGCATGTAGTATTATCCTATTTTATAGATGAAGAAAGTAAGGATCTTGGTCACTCAGCTGATAGGTGGCCAAACCAGGATTTGGGTCCAGGTGATTTTAATTCCAGTATTTGTGTGCTTAACAACTTGGTTGTCCTGCCAGAAACCCTTTTGATAAATGCCATAGTAGTGTTTGGAAAAGGGAGGGTGAAACTTGTGCTCCTGGATAAGTATGAAGGAGATATCAAGAAAAAAGGGACATTGTTTGCGTTGGGTCTTGAAGCAAGAGTAGGAATGTGAAAGCAAAGGAGGGGGGTTAAAGAATGAGAGACAGGGAACAGTATTCATGAAGGCATAGAGCTCTTAAACCTTCTATTTACCCTCGGAGTCTTCTGTTCTCTTTCCTTTTTGTACCACCGCAAATCAGACCCCTGCTCTCCCCCTTTCTGAATTAGCTAGTGACATACCGTTATAGATCTGTCATACATTTCTCCCAGGACTGTTTATTCTGAGATGTTTACCTTGGTGAGACAAACAATATTTAATCCTTAGTGGAAAAATGAAGAAAACCAGAGGGGAGAGAGAGAGTCCCTACATCCCTAGGCTTGGTCCAGATTCACCAGATGGCCTCACCCGTGCAGGGCCCAACACAGAATGTGGGCCACTGAGAACCAGCGAGATTGACATAACCTTGAGGCCCCAAATAGTACATTCTTCTCCTTCAGTATCAGTTTTGTCAGATTAAAAGTCCAATGGCAGGCTGTCATCAAGTCTGAGGAAACAGATGGTGTAGTAAAAGGGAGAATCTGACTCCCTGATGGAAAGCAGGTGATTTTAAAAATTTGTCTCTATGGCTGTCTATGCTACAGAAATTCAGAAAAGGGAGACAAGCCTGTGCAGGTATCTTTCTCCCCAGATCTCCTCCTTCCCCTTCATTTTTCTTGGACTTGGTGAGTGGCCTCATCATTGCCCCTGTGTGCCTGGCTAGGACTCAGGGAGCAATTCTCACTTCCCCTCCCACTGGCTCAGCTTAGATCTGTCTCAGCTTCCACAACCTGCTCCTCTGCCATCCTGCTGCCCTGCCTTTCCTGAGGTCAGCATTAATCACGGGACTCTGCCGCCTGCCACCCTGTCACCGGCCTTCCTCCTCCAGTACCTCTTTTGCCATCTCTAAAGTACAAACATAAATAACCCTGGCAACTGAGTGGCTGGATGCCCTGGAATGAGTAATGGCATGTAAACCACTTCCCTTATTGTTGTATCCACCATGTGTAAAATAAAGTAAATGCTTACTTACTGTGAGACCCGCCTTGGGTAGGTTAGCCTGGCTCTTTGGCTTGCACAAGACAGAACTTACTTCACACTAGTCCAGAGGGTTCACATGGAAAACAAGGGTAGGCAGTGCTAGCAGGCCCTGACATTGAAGTCAGGAACCACAAAGCCTCCAGGAAGAGGCAATTGTACTCTCCAATTCTTTCTCATAAAGAGTTTTTATTTGCTTCCTTTCTGCAGACTGGCTCTCATTGCTGCCCATAGCTCAGGGACAATGTAACCAACCCACACTATGATGAGGAGGCTGTGGCCAGACCAGCTTCAAGCCTACGTCTGCGGAGAAAAAATCTGATTGGGCCAGCTTAGGTCAGCTGATCATTCCCAGTCCAATCAGCTATGTGCAGGCAGGTGGCTCACTCAACTTAATCTGGCTTCTAGGGCTCCTCCCTCACTTGTTGGGCATGGAAAGACCTTTGAGAAGAGGAGTTTGGGGCTGGCCAGATGCTACAGAAGTTGTCTACTGTGTCTTATAAGGAAAGACATAATTTTTGTCTTCTCAGCAGTTAAGCCCCATTGGGAAAATTGAGTGCTGAGTTGGAGTTATTTCAAACCAATGTAAAATCTTTGTTTTGTGGACAGAGCTTGGAGTTTAGGGAAGCATACAGCTTTGAGTTTTTGGGAGAATGGTAATTTCAAATGAGAATATTTGAAGGAGCATAGGTTCCTAACGGGAATGAATGAGGGCAGTAAAGATTGTCGAGCTCTTGTGCTCTGGCCCTTTAAGTGGGTAGAATGGAAGCATTTATTGGAGGGATTTGAATACCAAATAAATAAGCTTAGACTCGCTTCATTAAGGATCAGGAATTGGGATGGCTGAATGGAAACTGGGTGTGTTCTGGAATCAGATACTCCTTGATTTGAGTCTGTCCCTTCCTGTGTTTTATGGGACTTGGGAAGGTTCCTTAACTGCAGAACCTCAGGGTCCTCAACTAGAAAGTAGGGATAACAGTACTGGCCTATAGTAGGTATCTGTTGTTTTGTCTGTCCAGCATCCATTCCCATTCCTAATAAATGCTTCTCAGTGTCATGGGGTTGGTGGACCACTCTGGGTGGCTTGGGTAGGATTGATCCCACCTCCCAGCATGGGGATGGACACATATCCCTGGCCAGGGCTGCCCATACAGCACCTTCCTCAGGACACTTTACTTCCACCTATTAGAAATTGTTGTAGTTCATATACAGATGTGTGATATCTGGAATGAATGGTGCTCCCTTACATGTGGTACTTTGTATACTACCTAACCTGCCCAGCTGTGCAAAGGTGCTCTGACCTGGGCCAATTAAAAGCAGACTACCCTCTTGTCCCAGATCAGGGAAAGGGAAGTTACCCAGCTAGGCTGATAGGAGGTAGTTGTACCACATAAAATTCTGTCTGACAGTAATGCTAACACAATGGGAAAAACTGCTGAGAGATGGAAAGAAGCATAAATGCATCATGTGAGCTATTTGATCCAGATGTGCCTAAAGCTATGGAGTTATCTCTGGAATTTATCATTTAAATTACCTAATAATTGTTGAGGGAGACAGTCCTTCCTTCGTCCCTCTTACTTGTATACATCATGTTGAGTGTACTAAGAACACAAGGCCCTGACCACTTTTATTGGGCCATTTCTCATAGTTATGTTCATAGCAAACAATCTTGAAGGATGAGGTGATGTCTGCCTACAGGATAAAGAGAAGGTTTTCTTACTGCTTGCCAGAAAACCGATGGATTTCCCAAGCTCAGTGTTCTTCAACTGTGATTAAAACCTACTGTGTGCAGACCGTCCATCTAAGTCATACTGTGTCACCTCTGAAGGGCTCAGGGTTAAGGGAACCTAGGTAAATATGCTGGTACTCATGCTGCTTGTTATGCCATAAGTAGATCCAGGAATTTTGTGTTCTCTGCCAGCATTCATGAAATAGTAACAGGCTAACTTACTAGCTTATAAGTAAGGTAATATTCATACCAGACCAGGCAATAATCCTCTCTTCATTGTTGTTTCTTAATCCAGAAAGAATTGAGATTCTGCCACTTGCAACGACAAAAAAATTGTAATAAATTCCCTTCCTCATCAGTTGAAATAATATATAAGAAAACTTCAAATCTGTGCTGGGCTGCCAAGTATGTGTGGTCCTATAATAGGCTGTTTTATTAACTTGAGATTTAATTGACATACAATAAACCACACATATTTAAAGTTACAATTTGGTAAGTTTTGACTTACGTATGCACCAGTGAAACTTTGCCACAACTATGATAATAAACCTAAAGATAGATTATTTTTCCTTTTATTGTTAAGTTCTCATTGAGATCACCCATTCTTCCCCTAATGTCCTTGAGCATCCTTATAACCATTGTTTTGGGGATTTCTCTTGTTCTTTCATTTGGAGCATATTTCTTTGTCTCCCAATTTTGTCTGCCTTTTTGTGTT